GCCCCCCCCCCCACCCCCCGCTGCCACTGACAGCTGGAAGGCTATATTAGTGCCTCCTCCTGTGTCACCATGCCCAAATTAAGGTAGGTTTGGCAGTCCCGAGGTGGCAGCCTCTTATCCAGTTGCTGCCGCTCTGACGGCCTACGGGGTTCGTCTGCGACCCGTTGGTGCTGCTGGGGCCGGGATGGCGGGGCTCCTGTGTAAGAGACGCAAAAAAGGAGGTAGGAAACACTGCGTTTGTAGCAAGAGCTTCTTCTTCCTAAGCTGCCTGCCTAGGACCTGGTGTGTGGGCTCTCTGCAGCAGAGCTCTCCCTGGGCAGCAGGCTTTGGGAGGCTCTCTGCTGGCGTAGCCGTGCTGTGCCGGTAGCAGTAGGAGAGGATGTTTTGATCCTGTGGGATCTGTCCCAGCCGCACTGGATCTGAAGGCAGGCGTAAGGGTTTTATGTGGCTCTGCATGTCGTGAGGAATGGGGACTTAATGTACAAATTCGTACTAATGTTTTCTTTCAGTTTAGTAGATTGCTTAGAGACAATGTATTTTTGTTAGGAAGAGTAGAGATCATTTTTATATTAAAAAAAGAGCAAGTGTATCATCTTAATTGAACTTTTGGGAATAAAGCTAGTTTAGCTACATTTAAAAGTATTCTGGTTTGAAATGTATGCAGCATCTTGTTTGTATAGCATACACTACATGTCAGTACCGTGTATTCGTTGCCAAGAGGAACTTAGCAGCTCTTTTATGCATTTACGCAACATTAGGAACAGTGATGCCCTGACCTTATTGGATACTTGGCATTCCCAGAATGACAGCAATGCTATAATAATGAAGAGAGAGTTACATCTAGGAACAAGGCTAGTATGTCCAAAAGGAGTCTGATTTAAGTGTAATTTGGGCATTTATAGCCCTAGCAGCCTTTTAAAAACATGACTTGTAATGTGCAGTTTCCACGTGATTTTTCTTGTGCCTCCTGGTGGCTTTATGCCTGTTGGCATCACAGTGTAGGAGCTACTAGGGCGAGAGAGCTCTAATTGGGCATAATGTGAACAGGCATGACATTAGAGCTCTTTTGATGGGTTGCATGAGGCCTCTTACCTCTCTGACTTTTGTTTGGTGAGTTTTTCAAGAAAACAAGAGTGAGTGCAGGAAAGGGGCAGTTCAGAATGTCTTTAATAATGACATTTTTTCAGGAGGTTAAATCTCAGCCTGCAGACATTTTGTTCTATTGGCAGTTGAGAGTGGTGTTCTCTTCCTGTCCCTTTGCAACAGGTACACAATATGGAAATCAAGCCGTGCTTACCTGTGGCAGCTCCCCTTCCCCCAGATTTTGTGCCCTGTTAGCTCTAACCAGCTACTCTAGTGTGGCTCATAAGCTATAAGTTCTCAAAATACAAGTCTGGTGTTTGTTGCCCACAGAACGTAAGAGCAGCATTTCATAATTCAGGATTTTAGTCATGTGCAGTATCATACTGTGAACCAGAATTAATTAACATCATGGAACTGCAGTTAAGAAATGAGGTACCTTGTTTTAAGCACCTGTTTCAAGTATCTGTGAGAAGAGGATTGTAGTGTATTCTTCTACCCTGTCCTTCCCTGGGGCAGCAGGATCTCTGTGTTTTCCTCTTCTGTCAAGCAGGAAAAAACCAAAGTGCTGATGCAGGCATTTGTAACCTTTGCAGACTGCATGCAAATGATTAGCCTGGGGTTAGATTTTCCAGTGGGAAAGGGGAATAGTGACTGTTCTTGAAGGAAGTGCTTGTTGGGATACTGTGGCTATAAGTTAACTGTTCTGCCTTTACTTTCCCCGGAGAAGTTTGCCTAACAGACCTTATTTATTTGAAAGTCCTTGCTTCTCCATGAGAAGAGTACAGGACTTGGACCTCTCCCAAAGAAGAGTGCCGTACCACAAATGCTGCCACAAATGATCTTAGCCCATGCTAGCGTAGAATAGATGGGACTGTTACAATGTCTTAGGATCTCCTATTTCAAATGCATGTATTTCAGTAGCTTGGCTAATAATAAATAGTTATTATTGGGAGTTTAAGGGGAGATGTGTCTTGGAGAGTATAAGTGTTACGGCATTGCTAGGGCTTTTCTTAATGTCCAGCTCTGTGAAGATACTAAAGAACTGTTCAGTACTTGTCGTCAAGTTTGGTTCCTCCCATGTGGCAGGACATAAGAAAGTATTTTTATGTTTGTTTTATCAGTTAAGGCTACTTTACTGACTTTACCAAATGAGAATTGTAGGACACGAGCTAGAAATCACAAATGCCATTTTTTTGTTCCCCTAGATCCTGCTACATCTGTTTTTAGTCAGCAACAATGCTAGAATTAAAAAAATTTTCATCTTTATTTGCTAGGTTTCCCTGGGATTCTCTGAAGCTTTTAATAAGGCCAGTAACAAGTTGTAGTTCCTGGGGTTCTGAAGCTGGAAAAGGTGGTGATGCGTGGTTGTCATGCTATCAGAAAAGGAGTTTATTTTTACAGTTAGCTTTCTGTTTTAGATCTGGTCCATCCTGCAGACAAAGCTCACACCCCTTCCTTATAGAGAAAAAAGCACTCTGAGGTTGTTCTTACCACAGAATTGAGTTTCTTGCCTCATATTTTCAGCCAGTTGTCTGGTGGCTTGGTTTAATAAGAAGCTATAAAAGGATGTTACTTAGATTTTTATTTTCCACTGTGGCTGCAGTTATTAATTCCATAAACTGTGGGCTCATTGTGAAATGGACCTACCAGATGTTTTCTCTTATTATAAACACCCTCTTCAACCCCTATGGCTATGCAAACTTTGCATTTATTATAACCTTTCTTTCTGTTTTTGTTCTCCTCTATTCAGTGAGTGACCTCCAAGAAGAAGGTAAAAATGCCATAAATGCACCAATGAACCCAAGTACTGTGGACATCCATCCAGAAGACACACTATTAGGTAAAGTATTCATGCTCTAGACCTTGACAAAGCAATTATTAATGAAGGTGGCCACTGTGTCTCCCGTATCCATTACTTTACTCTTGAATGTCGATTACTCAACTGAAATTCAGAGCATTGGTCATGAGAATTGAGAATGGTTGCATGTCATATGTAGACTAGAAATTAGAAGGGCTAAAATGGAATTTAAAGAGCAGTGCCAGCTATGCAAATACGCTTGAACTAGGTAGCTTGCAGGAAGATTTACTTGTTCAGTGAATTGGCAGAGAACTCAAGTTTTCCCCTTCTGTCAAGTAGGAAGAAAGCAAGTATGGGTGCAGGGGTTTTGTAACCCTAATGTTCTTCTGTGAACATTCTGAAAGTAGAGAGAAAGTTGAGGTTTGCAGAGGATTAGTTGGAAACTCATGCTGAATTTATCTGCTTGAGATTTACTTGAGTTCTGCTAAACTACTCGCCAAGTGCATCTCAGACTTCCTTCTTTGGCAGGAAATGGTATCTTTTGTTTCTCTGTATACAGATGGGGAACTGAAGTGCAAAAGGACCAACCCACAGAAAACCTGTGGCAGAAGTGTGTAGTGAGGTTCCTGTGGAACCCTTAGACTGCCTTGTCGCAACTTGCCCACAACACTGTTGTTTACTATTGGATGCTGTTGTTTCTCCTGGGGTTACTGCTGCCACTTTGCAACTGACACTACAGCAAAATGGGACCTGACACTGAATGAACAGAAGAGTGTTTAGGTTGCTGAAAACAGTATTTAAATGCAATTAGGATAGAAGTATGTAAAACAAGAAATACTTTGTAGAAAGAAGGCTGATATTAAAATTCCTGTTCTCGCCGTTCCCTCCCTGAATCCATACAAAAGCAACAGCATAATGAAAAAAGCAAAAAGCATTTAAAATTTGTTGGAATAAGACACTTTTTTTTTAATTTACTGGTTTGTTATTTATCTCCATGCCAATTTGCTTTTTTTTCCTGGCCATGTATCTCTTAATCTATGGAATTAGCTGAAGCAAATTGGCATGGAGATAAATAATAAACCAGTAAATTAAAAACAAAAAAGCATTAGGGATTTAGATTTTCTAATGAGAAGAGTAGTAGGAAATGAAAAGTTCTGTTCTTCTGAGACGTGGGCAAAGCGATGATTGCTCTATGTATATGTTTGGATTGGGAGTGTCTCCAGTGTTTCTTCTGGGTACCACTAAGGGACTTTAGAAGATGCAGGACCACTCCTGAAGGCTTGTCATGCAAAGACGTCGCCACTCGTGGTGAATCATATAATGTTATGGGTCAAATCTTGACCAAGACTTCAGTTAGGAGCATTCTGGGTGTGTAGTGGGTGTCACTTCCTTACAACTAGACTGCCTGACTCATTCCAGGCAGTAATGAGGAAGTAAAGTAACAGGAAAAAAAGTGGCAGAAGAATTGTTTTTTTGTATGTTTGTGGTAATTTGTCAAGTATGTTCAGATAGCAGAGTGTTATCTTTTTAATAAACATAAGGGGCCCTGGTAAATACTGACTCCAAATATCTGAGTGAAGTTTAAGGTAACCAGTTCAATGGTATAGTCTGTCCTGTGTGTAAGATGTGCGAGTGTCGTGTTTCCCATGTGACAGCTGTGAAGCCTGGTACTAGGAGGTAACTGTGGCTTGGTCGTTGTCAGAGTTTAGAGGGTTCCTCTACACAGTGTGGCAGTGCCTGACCAATGGTCATACTGAAACCCTTCCTCTGTTGTTGTGGTGGAAGGAATTGAGAAATCAATAGGAAAATAGGATTCCATATGACCTGTCAAGACTCAGCTAGAGATGAATCCCTGGAGTTTATAAATAATAATTTTAGCTGAAGACATGTGGATCTTCTTGTGTAGCTGTGACAGTCACCCATCCTCCTGTTCCTATTGTGTAGTAGCCAGGGTTTGCTTTCCACTGAAAGGAACAGATCTAACCTAGATCATAGCTACCACTTGGCTACTAGTGGATCTAAAATATAGGGTGCAGAGAGAGCTCAGCTCCTTGAAAGCAAGCATTAGAATTTAAAATACAAGACTTGCTCCAGCTGCTTCCTAAACACTGGTGTCTATATCTACGGTTGCATATAAACATGCACATGTCTGTAGGTGTTGTTATGAAGATAATTCTTCCAGAGGTTGTTTGGTTGTTAGCTTTACTGATCTCCTGTTGATTTTGCTACCAACATTTCTGTATCAAATCATCCCTTCTAAAAATTAGTCTTTATATTCATGCCTCTTGTGGTTGTCCTGCTGACCATTGGAGAAGCTTTCTGACATCTCTCCATCTCCCAACAACAGAAGAAATAGAAGACTTTACACCTGAGAAATCTGTTTTATGTTCCTCCCCCACGCACAAGTACAACTGGTATAAGTTGGGGTAATTTTCATTCTCCAGCTTAACAAGAAGTTAAGGAGCTCACACACTCAGGGCCACATGTGTGTCCAGGTTTCAGGAAACCAGAAGATGGAGGCACAAACTGTCAGCCCAAGTCTCAGTAGTTGCATTGGGTGAAGTGCCCTAGGTGTAATTTGGGACAGGTGTTTTCAAATAGAAATTAAATACAAATTGAGGAGAGGGAATAAAGTGGTTGACTGAACTTTTTTGGCATGTTAATATTGATGTGCTCCACAGGGTATAGAGGACAGTGATTTTCCTGAAGTATTCAGCAGGGTGTGGGTTGGGGAAGGTCAGTGGGAGCAAGCTTATTTTAGGGAAGTTTGAGTTGTCTTCTCTTTCTGTGTGTCTATAAAGACGCCTAACACTTTGATCATCGGATATTCCCTTGCTAAGATGATGACTAGGTGCTGTCATTTCTTTGTCAGCTGACAGGCCACTTCATGATAAGGAATTGTTGCAGTATTTCAAAAGTGTACATTTGAAGTGGATCTCACTAAAATTTCCCATTTTACTTGGACAGAGGAGAATGAGGAACGCACTATGATTGATCCTAACTCAAAAGAAGACCCCAAGTTCAAAGAACTGATCAAGGTAGGAAGTCTTTATTTTGTCCTTGTTCAAATGTTTAACTAGTGAGCTGGAGTAATTTACAAGCTGGTTGCCAAGAACAAAGCTGAGATAACAACTTGTTACTGAAGTGTATCTGTGAAAACAGGTCATCAACACGGTAAGGCTAAAAGCAACGAGAGAAACAAGAAAAGGCTGAATGTCAGATTGCTCATGGTAGTTATGGAGTAAAGCTTCATTGCCCGTTTACATCCTTGTGATTATCACAGCGAGGATCAGTGCTCAGCTTGAGTCCATCAGCAGTCACTGCACATAAACCTAGGTTACTTCTGTTTGTGAGAACAGGAAAATTGGGATAGCATTCGTAAGGTTTCGAGAAAAGAGAGAGTAGGACTGAGATGAGGAAGGGCGTGGTAGGGGGCGATAAGAAGACCCCTGATGTTGTAGAAGGATTGGAGCTGAGATTCTTCTTGCCCTATATTCTGGGTGGGGTGGTTTTTTGTTTGTTTTGCTCCTTTTTAAAGAAAAGTTCTGCTTACATGTGTGCTGTGGCAGCAGCCAGATTGTCCAGGAGACACCTGCCCAAGGTGTTGGTAATGGTGTTCCCAGCTGTGCTGATGTGAGATGTGGCTTCCTGCCTCAGCAGTGCTCGTAGTTTCTGCCACATACAATGGAGGATTTGATCTTGAGGGATAAGTGTTTAGGAGAACCTTTTTTATGCAGTAAGTTGTTGACACTAACGTAGTGAAAGCTTGAGCAAGAAGAGAAGGGATGGCAATTCTGAAAAAACCATTTGTGCTTGCATTATAGTTCCCACTACGCTGCTTCTTTATTATTTAAATTTTTTAAATTTTTTTTTGTTAGAAGCAACAGTGCAGCTGTAGCTGGGTGGATCTGAAAACTTTGGATAGTGTATACTGTCTCCAGGTAAAGGGTTGAGCTGTGGCAAATTCCTATCAGGAAACCTTGTGCATTCTGGCTGTGCACATACACTTCACAGAATGCCTCCTCAGCAAACTGCTCACTTGGAACATCTTTAAAACAAGCCCAGTGATCTGTTATTAACAACTGCAATAACATAGAATCATAGAATGGTTTGAGTTGGATGGGACGTAGTTCCAACCCGCCTGCCATGGGCAGGGACACCTCCCACTAGACCAGGTTACTCAAAGCCCCGTCTAGCCTGGCCTTCAACATATCCAGGGATGAGGCATCCACAGCTTCTCTGAGCAACCTGTTGCAGTATCTCGCCACGTGGCACAGAAAAGAATTTCTTCCTAATTATCTATCTAAATCCATCCTTTTTCAATTTGAAACCATTACCCCTTGTCCTAACACTATGCTCCCCGATAAAGACAATAAAACCCGATTTATTCATTGGTTTTGGTTCTTCACTGGTTAACGACATCTTCCAAGAGTCCCAGTGCTGGGTGAGAATTAGCCAGGCTAAGTGCTGTACAGCAGCAGCCAGCAGGGAAGACTGCCTGCCCCATAGAGCCTGAAATTTCCGTGAACTAGACAGGAACGAGGAGTTGAATAGATGGAGGTTTTTATAGTTCAAAGTGGTTCTCTCTCTTTTCCCCTCAGAAAGAAACGTGTCAATAGCAGCAATAGAGCCTCATGCCTTTTGAAATCTGGCAGTGTGACTTAGTTTCATTGGTGCCAGCCCAAATCCCTTTCAACACCAGAGTCAGACATGCCAATGGTTTGCCATCACTGATTTTAAGTGTTTCTGTTCTGTCAGTCACATGCAGTTGGTTAAATGGATCTCAGTGCAAAGCAGCAGCAGAGATATCTGTTGCTGACACTGCTTTAATATCTCTTTGTCTCTGCAAAATGTTGTTTTTAGTTTCTGCTAGCTTCATGCCATAGGAATTACATGCATAGTGGATTGATCAGTGGAAGATTGTGTGAGCATTTGGAAGTGATTTTGACAGAGCTGTTGCAGCACTGGAGAGACAGATTGTATAGCATTGTGGTAATGCAGAGAGATCAACAGAAAAGGAAACCAACACAAAAATGCAAACAAAACAAAAAAAAAACCAAGAAAAAGTCTCATTCCTCACTGTTACTAAAGCAAATATACAGTGAATCCCCTTTCTGAAGGCTGCTAATTTAGGGATGCTAAAATACCCACTTTAAGTGCTTTTGCACACATGAAAATCATCAGGAGCTAGAATTCTGCCTCAGAGAGTGTTTTTTGTTATCATCGGCATTATTCTAAAAATAGTTGGTAACAATTTGTCAATATGGATTTTTCAGCTAATTTCCCTGTGTGGCCAGCAGCCTCTTTCCCCACTTTATTTGCTCTGTGTGTAATCAAACACAGTTTAGTACGTGGCTGAACAGGCCTAAAGCTG